CCCCAAACCCTAGAAGAGTTGTCGAGGCCACCCAAACCCTAGATGAAGAAAGAGGGTGTCGATCAACCCCCTCTCGCCCGACCAACTCTCGAGTCCACCCATACCGGGACTGAAAGAACGTTGTCGAGGCCACCCCAAACCCTAGAAGTGTTGTCGAGGCCACCCAAATTTACCAAGTTAAAAGAGCATTGTTGAGGCATAGCGATTATTTTTTGCAAAGTGTCATCTCCTGAAAGTATAACCCCGATAACTTCGACATGAGGGGGGACATCGGACATGCATGAGAGAGGCGGTCTGCAACTAATCCATTGCTCATATATGCATGCATATGATTCCTTGTTGTGATTATCTTGGTCTATGTTTGCCACTAATTAATCCATCTCTCATGTTTGTTTATTGCCATGTTGTAATATTTGCAGAAACTATGGAAAGAGACTTAGGACAAGAAGAGTTTATGGGCATATAATCCGTGATGGAGGTGATCCCTTGTCGTTTCTCAACGACACCGATGGTCAGGAAGGAGAGGATGACGGCTCCGGTGATCCAACAATGGAGGAGGGAGGAGATCATTGTTGGAAATATGCCCTAGAGGCAATAATTAAAATGGTTATTATTATATTTCCTTGTTCATGGTAATTGTCTATTGTTCATGCTATAATTGTATTAACTGGAAACCGTAATACATGTGTGAATACATAGACCACAACATGTCCCTAGTGAGCCTCTAGTTGACTAGCTCGTTGATCAATAGATGGTTATGGTTTCCTGATCATGGACATTGGATGTCATTGATAACGAGATCACATCATTAGGAGAATGATGTGATGGACAAGACACAATCCTAAGCATAGCACAAGATCGCGTAGTTCGTTTGCTAGAGCTTTTCTAATGTCAAGTATCATTTCCTTAGACCATGAGATTGTGCAACTCCCAAATACCGTAGGAATGCTTTGGGTGTATCAAACGTCACAACGTAACTCGGTGGCTAGAAAGGTGCACTACAGGCATCTCCGAAAGTGTCTGTTGGGTTGGCACGAATCGAGACTAGGATTTGTCACTCCGTATGACGGAGAGGTATCTCTAGGACCACTCGGTAATGCATCATCATAATGAGCTCAATGTGACTAATGAGTTAGCCACGGGATCATGCATTATGGAACGAGTAAAGAGACTTGCCGTAACGAGATTGAACAAGGTATAGGGATACCGACGATCGAATCTCGGGCAAGTAACAAGGTATAGGGATACCTTTCCATCCTTGATGGCTTCCTTGTGTGCAGCAACAACAACGGAATTAGGTACATCCAACACATATGCTAGAGGCCTAGCAGACCCCTCGAAGGCATCTGAATCTGGAGGCACCTGCTCATCGGTCGTAGGCTAGGAGTCCTCAACATAGGACGGCGATAATTGGCTCCTGAACAAGACAATGACACAACTAAACTCTTCTGTGCTCGTGTCCTACAAGCGTTAACATCAGGACTAGTGAAACACACTATAGACGGATATTAAGAAAGACCAATACACGTGAATAGTAAGCATAGTACACATGGATCATAAAGTTCAACACACCACCCTATGGCTGATCTTCAAGCTCATAGCATGCCATGGAGTTCAACACACTACCACACCTACATACTTGCAAACTACTACACATGCTTTGATTCACAACCTAGTAATACCATAATATCATCCTTCCCGACATGGAAAACAACATGAACATCATCGAAGCATACAAGCAACACCTAGCATGCTACCAATCCATCACCACTAGCTACCACTACATTACATTCTCATAGATTGACAGTTTACAATGCTACCACGTACTCATAAATCTACTCCTATCACATGCTCACATATCTATCTAGAACGACTAGAGAGGAGGGATTGATCGAACTTACAACCATCGGTGCAACCGGGTGGAGGTGTGGAACATGCCGGAGAAAAGGAGGGAAAACAAATCGCTGCCAACGTCTGCCGCCGGCCGAAGAAGACGCGCCGCTTGCCTGCTCGCCGGTGATGATCCGCGCGGAACGAAGAACTCGAAGGGGGGATTGGACGGATAATCTTTGTTGTGATTCGAGGATGGCTATATAGGGCGACCGATTAGACGGAAGGTGACCTAATTTCTCCCACCGTTTTTTTGGGAATGTGCGTGCGTACGCACCATCTCCCTGCTCGCATGAACTCGGTGCCGTGTCCCCTCCCCTGCATATTGCCCGAGGCTGACTAATCGGAAACGGCCGATTCAGCACTTCCTAGCGGGTCTGCTTAGGGTGCTTTCGTGCTATGCAGGCTAAACAGTGAACACAATCTATCAAACATACCAAAGTTTTATCGCGCGGTTTTCGTTGGATCTAATGCAGACGACTAAATGCACTCCTAATGGCTGGCATCAGATCCGACCTCGTACAAATCGCAACACCCCGCCTGATCTGTTGACTGCGCGGTGCTTGATGGAGGGTCTCGGGAGGGGTGGCACCAGTAGATCAAAACCTTCTCGGGAGGGAGAAGAGAACGGGCCCAAGCCTCGCCTCGCCTCGCCTCGCACCACAAAAAGGATCGCGTGAACCGTACTCCCCTCCTTCCTTCTTTCCTGGAGCTCTTTACTCCACTTTCACTACTCAGTACTCACTCGTGACTCGTGAGTCGTGACACGCCACTCGATTCACACAGACACGAGAAGCCCAGCAGCGGCAGCAGCAATGGCGCCGCGCGCGTCGTGAGACAGACAGAGCCACAGCCTACAGCCTACAGGGGGCGGGCGAGCGGTGTTGGCGCTGGCGGTGGGGAGCGATTAACCGGCTCAGTTTGCGCGCGCGCGCGCCATGGCGGGCGGCCCGGCGATGGCCCCGGCGGCCGCGTGGTGGCCAGGCGCGGGGGCGGGGGCGGGGGCGCAGGAGCAGGAGGAGATGCGGTGGCGGCAGCTGGACGGCGGCGTCAGCGCCGTCTCCTTCGGCTTCGTCGCCACGGCCATGCTCGTCTCCATGTTCCTCGCCATGGCCGTGCTCGAGCACTTCCTCCGCGCCCCGCCCATGGGCCCGCCGGAGCCCTCGCCGCCCCGTGGACCAAGAGGGGTCCTCCTCCGCTTCCTCCGCCGCGGCCGCGGCGGACGCGGACCCCCCGGCGCGGATCTCGAGGCGGCCAGGAAGCTCGACGCCGGATGCGCGTCCCCCGAGGTAATAACCCCGGCACTGCTACTCCCGCACGCCCCGCCGCCGCCCCATTCCCCATTCGCGCCTGCATCCTGCCGCCTTTTCATGGTTCCGTCGGTCGCCCTTTTCCCCTTTCCGCATCGCTTTTACTGCTCACCGTGCGTGCGTGTGTGTCTGTGCACTCGAAACGGACCCAGATTGCGCATCATTTCGCCCCTCCCCCATCCCTCCACTACGCTCGACTCCGCCATGATGCAGCGGCCATGGCCAGTGCCAGGAGGGAGGCATCCGAGGAGGATGCAGCCCAGGTAGGAACGGACAACAGAATGCTCTGCTGCCACCGCCCATTTCTTGCCTCGATTTTTATGGTGGCTCTAGAAAGTATCTCAACATACACATCAAAGGAGCACGTTTTGATCTGCAGCGCCAAACCAGATCTTGCTGATGTGGTTCGTCACTTCATCACAGCTCGTCTTCGTCAGTGGTACAGTTCATGGCAGCGTATCCATCCATTATAGTGGAACTGATGTTACGTTCGTCCAAACTCGGAAACAACTCATTAATTATCTTGGTCGGGATGTGTCCTACTAATACTAGCTCAACCCCACAAGTCTCTGTTAAGCCACAACTCATTTAATTAGCTTGGTCGGGGTGTCCCACTGCTTCAACCCCACAAGTCTCTGTTAAGCCGTTAGCCACATCGATCTCTCCTGTCAGATTACTGATTAGCCTTATCAGCTGCTGCTGTCTCAACAGTTAATCATTCGTCATTATTTGGGTCGCTTTGTGCTAAGTGGCCACATGGTGTTTGTTCAGGAAAATGATCTAGGGTAGATTGATTACGCAGGTGGATCTTCCTGATGTACGTAATTCATTTCTATCCTTCTGTATTCTGTCTTGTGGTTAAGTTCAGTTGGCACCTTCATATGGCTTATAGCAGCATTCTTGTCCATTTTGTATGGTGTGATACGTAGTAGTAGAAGACAAGAGGGGTCGCTATTTAAGATCATGGGTTATGGAATTGAGAGGGGGATTTGGCAGACAGTGGGGAACAGACAAGGACCACCGCTGTCTGCACCTCACAGCAAGGTCTGAATCATACTCTTGCTTGCAATATGGGTTCTCCGTCTAAAACTCAGCAGCCACAGCCTGCAGGTCCCAGATGATGTGGGCACCATTCTTTCCTCACTGTGAGGTGTGGAACCTCCTGTTACTAAGATGGACCAGCAGCACAATTTACTTCGAGCAGTGGTGTGCCCCATCATGGAAATCAAGAGAAATCAGTTAATTAGAAATGGGAGGAGCGTTTAAGTACGAAGTATAAATGGTGTCCTTGTCTAAGAACTTAACCTTTAGAAACTTTGATGCTAGACCTCACACAAAAAATAAGTGGTTGTCTCTTGCTCGCGCACCGTCGCTGCTAACATGAGGTGCATGACTACGTGCGGCTCCTTTCCATCGCTCCTGCTTGTGAGCATACACCCAGCACACCCTTAGTTGTTCCTGGGCTATCGGTTAGTATTGTGAATTAAGGAGTGGTGTAGACTGAAATAATCTGAGAACAAATACAAAGTATTTGGCCCAACCAACTGTAGTATAGACGCCTAATATGTACTCCCTCCGTAAACTAATATAAGAGCATTTAGAACACTAAAGTAGTGATCTAAACGCTCTTATATTAGTTTACAGAGGGAGTAGGTATTTTGTGAAAATAAAATATATTTGGGTGTACATCTGTACTTCCACAGTTCCATGACCTTTTGTGGCCTCATGTCTAGCACCAGCTTCTGGTAGCCACATGCTGGCCAAGAACATTAAATGTAAAGAAATTAGGTTATCAAAATTGGCAACCCGTCCCATAAAATGGATGGCTCGACTACATCTTGTCTGCTATTCATGAGTAGAGTGTCTTCATGCATACTAGGATGTATATGTTATAAGTTCGAGATGTCGATTGGAGGAGTATGGAGTTATGTTGGAAGATATTGTAAAAGAGACGAGGTTGATTGAGCACCACAAAAAAATCAGTATTTTTCTGTAGTCTTTCTAAAATCTGCCAAAATCACCTTTCCCGCTATGATATGGAAAAATGAAACGATATATCACTGTTATGCAATCTGTCTAGCCGTGTAATGTGCTAAGTATAAGCCAGCACATACATGAATAGTCAATGTTGGCTGTATTGAAGTATCATACGAAAGCTTCTTCCATAATGTGTTTGTCAAGAACGGCATCGGTGTATGGTTATCAAGTTTTGTTTCCTTTATCTGCGAAGAAGGTTGTCAATCCAGCTATTATATATAGTTCATTTCTCGATGTCAACTCATTCATGATTGTTACTGAATCTGGACCATCAGTCCCAGGTTCCATCCAAGTTCAGATAAATTTCTGATCAGCTCTTTCGTAGTAGAGGCTCAAATTCCAACTGATTCCAGACTATTTTGTGATCATCTCTTGCATTAGTCAACTTTCATAGCATAGTGGACGTCACGTACCTGATACATGACAAAGTGATACTAGCTGTAGGATCTGCTCGGGATGACCCTGGAACCAAGTGGCAAAGGTGTCTTGATGGCAGGTTGGCAGCCACACCTCAGGGGCGGGGATGAGAGAAGTGGAGATTTTTTTTTTCTGCTTAATCCAACCAACAGATGTGCCAGCCCTTATATCGGTGGTGCCTGCCCCTAACACAAGTAACCAATCTTACCTTTCCTAGCTCACAAATATAAAGAAGACAAACTTTGGGAAGATGAACCTATAAAGATATCTTGCTTCCATGAATAGCTGTGGTGTTGGGTGCTCTTCCAAGGGCTGTATGACTATGACTGTATGCGTTCCAAATTTCACTCATTGCTTTTGACATCAAATAATTGTAGATTTCTTTCTCTTCCTCTTTTTTTTTTGAGGGAAACAGCACAACTCTGCTGCATATTTTTATTGTTTTTTAAAATAAGTTACAGAGAGAGTCTGTACAAATTAAATAAAAGAATAGAAAAAAGAAAACAAAAGGCTATACAGAACTAAGGAAACAAGAAACAAGAACAAATACAAATACAAATACAACAGTGGAATGTATTCACGCAAGCTAGCTGAACACACTCATCTGAAGGCATGAACCCAGTCTTCAAACTTCCCATATTCTTTCCTGTTTGCTCTGTTAAGTTCCTCTTTAAATGTCTTCCTGCATTTATATAGGCTGGGAGAGATGCCCTTGAATATGAAGCCATTCCTAGTTAAAATGGGACTCCCACTAGAATGATGATTTCAAGTTAAAATGGGGCTCCCACTAGGTCTTTTAAGTTTCTTTCTCCTCCTCTTAGATGATGAATTGTTTTTTCACATTAGTTATAGTCAATTAGTACCTCTAGAGCAATAGAAATATGCTAGAGCAGACTTCTGGTAGACCTAGCGTTGATGACCCATCTTCTGTCCTATTGTGTCATCTGTGGAACTTATTTATCTGAATACTGGCATTGCCATAGGACGGGTCATTCATCATCATTTGTGTCGATTTTACACTTAGGTCAGGCTTATTCGATTTCATTGGTTCTTTTGGACATTATGGCATCTTTTTTTTATGTTGATATTCTGTTTTCTCTCTATACCAGCACATACAGTTTTTAGAAATACAACTGATCATGAAATTATGACATCCCTATTTCTGACTGCATCAAGGCATCTCATGTTAGCATTGTCGCATTGGATGCGGTGAGTTCAGTACATGCACATTGTTACTGATTACTTCGTTTATATGTGGCTTTGCAGATGCCCGTGTATTCCAAAGGCGTATCTGTCCTGATGCCAGGACAGGACGTGCCGACGTTCATCGCGCACCCCGCGCCTGCGCCCTGCCCCCCAGAGAGGGTCCGATGGCCGTTGCACCAGCCCGCTCCTTTCGCCAGTTCCTCGTCGAATCCGTGCTAGCATATGGCCGCTAGACCGGAACACCGCTCTAGTGCTCTACCCAACGATGATCCACAGGGAGAGAGCACACCTCTGGTTTCTTCTGTGGCCATGTCACCGGTTCCCTGGTGGGACGGGGAGCGGTTCTCTCCATGCGTTGTACAGTTTGTTTAGATGTCTGTTGTGGAGCAAGTTCTTCTGGCTCCTGCGGCTGCCTGTATTATGGCGGGAGAGGAGCGGCTAGTCTAGTGGATCCATGGAATTGTTGCCGATCCCACTTGCTCAGCCAGTATTTAGATGCTTCCCGCAAAAAAAAAAAAAGAAGCTAGTGTTTAGATGCTTTCGTTGTCGTTGGTCATAGAGTCGTACTAGATGTGTGTCATGGATGGATGCACACGTCTTGTGTAATTTCGCTGCATAAATGACTTGTAGCCTATGGGACTTTCGCCCCCTGGGAGACTTGGGCTTTAGAGATTTTGAAATCTTTATTCTAGCTGTTCTTGCTAGGCAGGCATGGAGGATACTTGAAAGGGTATGTCTAGAACTTGGTTGGATGCTACAAACGGTGACAAAATATGTTGTGACAGTATGACAACAAATGCTACAAGCATTCTAACTAAAATGCTACAGCTGACATTGAAGGATGTTGCCACCGGTGAGATCACGTGCTACAATCGACGAGGGATGACATGCTACCACTAGCAAGACGGATGTTGCAACCGGTAGAAACAATGTTGCAAATGATGGGATAAAATGTTGTAAGGTCGACTGAGACTTTGTTTTAGATCTCAGTCGACTGAGTTTTAGCAAACCCGTACTAGACAATATAAGTGCATGAAATTTTAAAAACGGTTTACTTTTCAGACTGCTCCATCCTAGAAGGCCAGGTTGGTAATCATCCATCACAGGTTTGGCGGTCTCTAGTTGAAGGCAGGGATATAATGAAGCAAGGAATTATCAAGCGTAGTAGTAATGGAATTACCACTGAAGTTTGGAATGAAAGCTGGATACCACGAACAAGATTGATGTGGCCGCTGGTTTCTCATGTGGCCAACCCACCCCAGTTTGTGTCGGAGCTCATTGATACTCCAAATGCAAGGTGGAATCAAGAGTTGATAGATGATGATTTTTTAGCCAAAACCGTAGAACAATGGTTGCACAGTATTTTCATTAATAATAAATATTTACATACAAAAGGAAAGGAAAATAACAAAGTCAACCAATGTCGGTTCAAGGAAACAATCCCATAATTAAATTACAGATATTGTTCTGTCCACATACTAATTTTCTCTACTTTTCTTTGCTTTGCCCTGATTTGTGCTGCCCAAAATCCTTCTTTCAGATAATGTTTCCATTTTCCCAGGTGTGGTGCAGCTGATTGGAATATTTGATATTTCTAACATATTATATACTCCAGCACCCCATAATGATAATATCTAGTGCGATTTCTTTGGGTAGAAGTTCCATGGTGATTAGAATTGTCGTGGTGGGCGCACGACAGATGCCAAGAGATGGTGTCGGGGGTTGGGTACGACATATGCCAAAGGATGACTTATCATGGTGGAAGCGAGTAGAACATCGCCGGTGCCTGGAAGCGGGATAAGGCGTAGACACGTACGCCGGTGAACTTTACCCAGGTTGGGAGCTCTCCGTGGAGATAATACCCCTACTCCTGCTCAGCGGGGTCTCCGCATGATCACTAAGGCACTAGTGATACAAGGTGCTCCTTGAGCCGTGTCTAGAGGTAGGGGAAGGCAAGGCTAGCTCTTCCCTGCCCTAGGTAACTGCCGAGTTCTATCAGAGTGGGAACCCTTTGCATGGGTGCCCTGGGGGGTTCATATAGGCCTACCCCCAGGGGTACAATGGTAATCTGGCCGGGTGCTGGGCCCGGCTGTCAGCGTCTCCGTCCTCCGACTTCTCCGTCGACCATTGGGGCCCGCCGCCTGGTGGGCCCCGCCGACTGGTTGGTGGCTGCTCACTGTAGCCGTGCCGTCAGTGACGAGGGCTTGGTCATCTCATCGTGGCTACAGTCCCGCCGCCTGGCGGGAGATCACTGTAGCCACACCTGGTCTCATCGGCTTAATGGCATGCTTGCCTCGGGGCAAGAGACAGCTGCCTGTTGAAGGCCGGCCCTCCCCGAGTCAGACTGGTTAGGCTTCCGCCGTCTTCTGTGGCGTCACTGCCCGATAAGGCCCGCCGCCGGCAGGCCGTACCGACAGGCCGTCGTGGGGAACAGGGCTCCGCCTGCCCGGAGCGACGTCAGGGGGGACATGGCATAGTGCCACGCCGTGCGGAGATCTCCGCCTGTACGGGGCACCGTAGCCATGCTTATCCCGGGATTCGGGGGCGACGGGCTTCACTATAGCCACGCTCTGCCTTGTACTCTTGATGGGGGACCAGAATCAGAGGGCGGCGGGAGGCCGCCCCCTCCGGGAGCTGGTCTACTGGAGCCAGCCGCTCTTAGGGCCGTCTTCTGGTGCTTGGTCGTCCTCCGGTGGCCGGCCTCTGAGCCAGCCGGCCCCCGGAGGGCAGAGCTTTTAGCTGGGGGTCTTTGCGGGGCGCAGCTGGCCCAAAGTTTTGATGTGCCAAGGGACTCGGGTGAGCCTACCCATGGCCCATTACTCCGACATTAGTCCCCGAAGCCGGTGAGGCGTTGTGGTCGTGGGGCCGCGAAGTCTCAGCGGCTTCCCTCCTCACCGAGCTCCAGGAGAGTGTCTTGATCCGTCTTGCGGCACGCCGGCCTCTGAGGCCGGTTTCGACAAGGCGGGGTTCGTCGACCAATATTTGAACTTCAAGGCGGGAGAATAGGTGGCGTGCCTGCTAAGCTTCCCTAGGCTGTCGCCCGCCGTAGGGACGCCACGCGGCACTCGCCAGCCCGGCCAGCCTGCCATCCCACGCTCCTGATGGGATGTGACAGTGGGCCGGCCCGCCACTATCGGGCCTCAGCAAGCGGGCGGATCCGCTGTGCCGAGGTGGACGGTTGTGATTCTTGCGGGCATTCACGGCGCAGTAAATTCGCGCGACGAACGTGGGGTCATGGGGTTGTGGGCACAGTTAATCCCACGACCACGCCCCATCCCCTCGGTTTCAGAGCCCAAGGGCTATAAGTAGGGGGAGGGAGGGGTGCGACGGGGCACGCGCGCCCCCTCCCACACTCTCTTCCCCTTCCTACTCTTCCCTCCATTGTTGTTGTCGCTGCTTCTTGCTTGCCGTGGTGCTGCCGCCGCCGCCCACGCGCTCTTGCTCCTCTCCGCAGCTTCGCACGTATCCATGGCGCGTGAGAAGGGCGGCGACTTGGACGGCTAAACGGTCATTGAAGACCACATCACCTTCCTCCGGGACACGCGCCGGATGCCCAACGCGGCATTCGTCAAGGCGCAGGCTGTTGGGGAACGTTGCAGAAAATTAAAAATTTTCCTACGGTTTCACCAAGATCCATCTATGAGTTCATCTAAGCAACGAGTCTAGGGAGAGAGTTTGCATCTACATACCACTTGTAGATCGCGTGCGGAAGCTTGCAAGGTGATGATGTAGTCGTACTCGACGTGATCCAAATCACCGATGACCAGCGCCGAACGGACGGCACCTCCGCGTTCAACACACGTACGGGACGGGAGACGTCTCCTCCTTCTTGATCCAGCAAGGGGGAAGGAGAGGTTGATGAAGATCCAGCAGCACGACGGCGTGGTGGTGGATGCAGGGCGTCACAGCAGCAGGGCTTCGCCGAGACTACGAGGGAGAGACGTAACGGGGGGAGATGGAGGCGCCAGGGGCTGGTGTGTTGAGTCCCTCCTCTCCCCCACTATATATAGGGGTGCCAGGGGGGGCGCCGGCCCTAGTAGATGAGATCTACTAGGGGGGCGGCGGCCTAGGGGAGGTTTCCCTCCCCCCCAAGGCACCTAGGGGTGCCTTCCACCACTAGGACTCCTCCTAGGGGGAAACCCTAGGCGCATGGGCCTATAGGGGCTGGTGCCCTTGGCCCATGATGGCCAAGGCGCACCCCCTACAGCCCATGTGGCCCCCCGGGACAGGTGGCCCCACCCGGTGGACCCCCGGGACCCTTCCGGTGGTCCCGGTACAATACCGATAACCCCGAAACTTGTCCCGATGCCCGAAATAGCACTTCCTATATATAATTCTTTACCTCCGGACCATTCCGGAACTCCTCGTGACGTCCGGGATCTCATCCGGGACTCCGAACAACATTCGGGTTTCTGCATATACATATCTTCATAACCCTAGTGTCACCGAACCTTAAGTGTGTAGACCCTACGGGTTCGGGAGACATGCAGACATGACCGAGACGCTCTCAGTCAATAACCATCAGCGGGATCTGGATACCCATGATGGCTCCCACATGCTCCTCGATGTTGTCATCGGATGAACCACGATGTCGAGGATTCGATCAAACCCTGTATGCAATTCCCTTTGTCAATCGGTACGTTACTTGCCCGAGACTCGATCGTCGGTATCCCAATACCTTGTTCAGTCTCGTTACCGGCAAGTCACTTTACTCGTACCGTAATGCATGATCCCGTGTCCAACACCTTGGTCACATTGAGCTCATTATGATGATGCATTACCGAGTGGGCCCAGAGATACCTCTCCGTCATACGGAGTGACAAATCCCAGTCTCGATCCGTGTCAACCCAACAGCTACTTTCGGAGATACCTGTAATGCACCTTTATAGTCACCCAGTTACGTTGTGACATTTGATACACCCAAGGCACTCTTACGGTATCCGGGAGTTACACGATCTCATGGTCGAAGGAAGAGATACTTGACACTTGCAAAGCTCTAGCAAAACAAACTACACGATCTTTTATGCTATGCTTAGGATTGGGTCTTGTCCATCACATCATTCTCCTAATGATGTGATCCCGTTATCAACGACATCCAATGTCCATAGTCAGGAAACCATGACTATCTGTTGATCACAACGAGCTGGTCAACTAGAGGCTTACCAGGGACATAGTGTGGTCTAAGTATTCACACGTGTATTACGATTTCCGGATAATAC